AAATTTTAAGGTAACCTGGACATCTTTCTTTTAAAAACAATTAAAGAATAAGGACTTTATTAGTTATTATGTTAATGTTATTATTATATAACCATGTAAATCGAGTATAACATGCTGCCATCATGCATACATCCTAAAAACTTTATAAGCTCTGACATGACTAAGCATCTCCATATGTGGCTTGGAGTTTTAGACAGCTTACCATACTTCAGATGTTTAGAGGATGCACTGCTTGTCAGAGTTTTATATAAATATAGAAAAATGTTTGAGACTGTATCATTAAATTAAAAAAAAAAAGTTCATAAAACCCAGGAGAACACTCAGATACATTCAAATGTTAATATTTCCCTTAGAGGTCTTTCTCCCTTATGGGTAGGACTACCTGATTTCTGACTGAGAAAATTGACAATAATAACAATAATAACTATAATAACAATAATTTTCATAAGTCTACAGAACTTAACAGCTGAACCAAAATGAAATAGTCTGTATTTGGAATCATACAGGATACATGTTTGTATACAGCAAATATATTCTGTAATATATACCAGAAATAGTGTTATATATTACAAAAGATGGAGGTAGTATAATAATAACGACCTTTATTCGGTACACCATTACTTGAGACAGATATATCCAGAATGTGGCAAACTGGGATCAGACTCTCAAAAGACAACATTGAGGCTTATCATTTCCATTGGCAGTGTGACAACTCCTTATATATATTAGAATAGTTAGCAAGCCAGACAGGGTACAGACAAGAATGATACTCTACATTTCTTGAAAATGTGCATTTGAATCCATGAAGGACAATGGAAGCTGTTCTGGATAGCAGGTAGGTCATCGGTTATTGAATAAAATGGGACACACACCATACTGCAGTACCTTTAGGAAAATCAACATAATAAGTTAAATTTTCTTTTTCTTTTTCTTTTTTAATGAAGAAAATAATTACCTATAATTGTCTTTCTTTACCTTTCACCCACCCTGTTTCACATCCACAGACATCCTTCTTTTCTTTTCAGAAGTACAGAAGGATTAACAGCTGTTTAACAATGCAAGACTTGGCCAACACAGAAGTAGGTAAGCCCAAAATACACAAACGCAGGAGGCAACCGAGACTGTGACAAAGACCAGGCCTCTGAAAGGCCATTGAAGGAAACATTCTGTCCCATGGAGATTAAGCTGGAACTTCCCAACTCACATATTTGTCAGGAAAGAACAAAGTCATTATGGGGTATTTTAGGGTACAGAAGGCGCTTATGGAATGTTTAGGGGAACGGGTGTGATGAAGGTATATTACAGGTGAAGAAGCACAGGAAAATAGAGAGGCAGTGGTGCAATGGAGCCAGTTCTGTGAAAACAAGCCGCAGGTCCCCACACCTGCCTAACCAACTCCAGATTCCAGATGAACTCTCTGTTCCGTCTCTGTGTGCAGCTAGAGAACTTCCAGCCAGGACAAGTGATCCTGGATCTAGCCTGGGGATCTGCAGAGATTCCGGGCTCAATAGCCAAGTTACCGGGGGAATAAAGGTGTGGAGCAGATATAGGAGAGACCAGCCTGGGGAGGGCGGCGATGAGCGGAGAGCCGCTCTCGATGGTGTGCAGGGCTGGGTGTTGAGCTGACCCTGCTCAGCGTTCCCAGCTCATGGAGCCGCTCTCGATGGTGTGCAGGGCTGGGTGTTGAGCTGACCCTGCTCAGCATTCCCAGCTCATGGAGCCGCTCCCGGTGGTGTGCAGGGCTGGGTGTTGAGCTGACCCTGCTCAGCATTCCCAGCTCATGGAGCCGCTCCCGGTGGTGTGCAGGGCTGGGTGTTGAGCTGACTCTGCTCAGCGTTCCCAGCTCATGGAGCCGCTCCCGGTGGTGTGCAGGGCTGGGTGTTGAGCTGACTCTGCTCAGCATTCCCAGCTCATGGAGCCGCTCCCGGTGGTGTGCAGGGCTGGGTGTTGAGCTGACTCTGCTCAGCATTCCCAGCGTATGGACCTCGGCACTGCAGCATTCCAGCTCTGCTGGACAGGGGAGAAGAACTCGCCAAATCCCAAAGCCGCTGGAATGAGCTCCCTTGTGACGTGGTGCAACACCAGGAGCGTTCCAATGGAAAAACATCAGCACAAACATCAAACGCACAACTTTACTGAGAAACTCCGTTTCATTGCAGCTATGGGGGGAAAAGGCACGGCCTGACACGGTGGCAGTTTAGGCCCCTTGAGAACAAGCTGCAGAAGACAGAATTTTTTTTTAAAATATTTCTTACAAAAACCGCAACTTATTGTTTCCTCGGGTAAATCCTCACAGGAGGCTCGCCCTCTGTTCCGGGGCGGGCCGGGCCGAGCCGCGCTTCCGGCAGGGGGCGGATGTTGGTGTTTGAATCGGCCGTCGGTTGGCGCGCGGCGCGGCTCGGCCCGGTTCGGTCGGGTCCGAGCGGTAAGTGCCGCCCTGGGGGTCTGGGGCGATTCCGGGGCTGCGTGAGCTGCCGGGGCAGGGAGGCGGGAGCCCCTTCCTTGGCCGTGCGGGGAGCCACGTGCGGCAGCCTCCCAGCCGATGCTTTGGGGAGCCGCCGCTGCTTGGCTCCCGCCGCTCGGAGCGGCCGGAGCTCCGGGGGAGCTACCCTAACATGCTCCCTCTGGCCTCCGCGCTAGCGGAACACGGGCGGTGGCACGGGGGGACGCGGAGTGCGGCACGGGAGGGGAGCGGCGGGCGTCGCGCCCAGGACCTGCCGTGGCCCTTGTGCCGGGCGGCGGTGGCGGCTGAGCCCTGCGAGGCGCGGGGGGAGCGCGGCCGCCTGAACCCCCGGCCCCGGCTCCTGGGGACGGGACGTGCCGGGAGCGCTGCCCGCCCGCCCGGGGCTGGGCACCGAGGGACGGGGCTTTCTCGGGACGCGGCTCCGGGGAGTGAGCGCGGGGGGACCTGGAGGTCCCGCTGTGTGGAAATTCGGGGTGCACAGGTGGCTTCGGGAGATGTCCTTTGTTCCTGTGCTGGGGAAAACGTGTGCGTGATACCGTGCCTCTTGGGGCTTGCTTTGTTGTTTCTTTTTCAGTCTCTAGTTAAAAGACTTGAATCGCGTTACGCTATGGAGCAGTAAAAAAATTACAAAATGTAGCAAAATCTAAACACCCACTCTGAGGACTTTTCTAGCCTGTTTAGGCAAAGTAGATACGTTTTATTTACATCGGTTTTCAAGACCCTGGGCGATAATGGGGTCGTTCCTGCCTTGCAAGCAGACGGATGCGGATCGCTTTGTTCCTGCCCCCGAGGACCTATGCAGGGGGCCTTAATGGGTGATCCGCTTATCTTTTAACTTGTAAATTCGAACTTTGGGTTCACTTACCCGAAAGAATTTGAGAAAAGTAGAGGGAATTGGGGGTGATGTAGCGTTTTCTTTTTTCTATTTTCCTGGAGCCTGGGAAAGGTGTGTAGGTGATTTTCTTGTTTCCAGCCGCATATATGCTTTGTCCACCTGTAGGGCTTTCTACCAAAAATAATCTTGGCTTGTGTGGCCGTGTGTAGGCAGTTTCTGTATTGTATTACCGCAGGAGCGTGAGAACGGCGAAACTGACAGTGATCATCCTGGGGAAATCCTGAAGAAGGGCAATGTGTGAGAGCTCTGGGGGTCATTTGCTCCCTCTGTTACCTGATTAAGTATAGTTATTCCTCTTTATTTAGAAAAAGGGAAGTGTGTTTCTGGGAAATGAGTGGTCACTTATTTAATCTGACTATCAGTGTGGTGTGTCTTTAGGAATGTTTTAATCTAGTTTAGTAGTGGTGCTTTTTGGTTTGTTTTCCTTTTAGACCGTTTTGTGGCCAAGGTCCTTTGTGCAACTACGCCGGTTCTCAGTGGCATAGAGCACTTGCCTTGTGCCTGAGACTTCTGCCTCCATTTCTTTTTCTTTCTCAATATGCTTCTTTCCCTAGATCTCCAGTAAAATTGCTCCAGTGCTTTATTTGCAATAGTTTAAATTAACCTAAAGTTTGTTCTTGAAGCTGATTTCTGGTAGTCATCAAACCTGTAAATACCGCACCACCGATAGTTGGAGCCTGTCAGGCTTCTGGTTTGACCCTGGGATTTGTTACTGGCTGCTTCCCTGTAGCAAGAGGGAGTTGTCCGCCTGCCTGAGTTCCAGCCTGGGGATGCAGGCCATCACTCTTGGCTTGCAGAACTTAGGTAATGCTTTCTTCAGCTTCCTAAGGGAAGGCAAGTCAAAGGTCTACAGATGTGTTCCTTGGAAGAGTGCTGAGAAAGAATAATCATTTTGATGCTGTGGTGAAGAAACTAGGGATTATTTGGTTTGGGTTGATTTTTTTTATCCAAGGTGGGCTAGGATAGGGTGCATGGTGTGGCACACAGTAAAGGGCAGCTCACGTTGCAAGTTAGATCACTGTTTCTACATAAATTACTTTCTACTTCAGAATGTAAAATACACTGTCCTACATAGTGTAAATTCCCTTGTATGCATGTCCCAGTTTTGGATTCCTCACCTTTTTAGTTTGTGGGGGTTTTTTTTCCCTTTGGCTTTTTTGTGGATCAAGATTTCTCTGATCCAGGATCCTGCAATTTCTCCAAACAGTGGAGACTATATTCATAGTCACATCGCTACCCAGTTATTTTTTTGTTTTCAAGTTCTTTTTATTAGTACAATCTTTATTTGAGCAGAAGTCAGAGCTGTTTCTTAGGTTATCTGTGAACCATTACTTCTGTTGCTTAAAATAAGTAAGAACTCTTCTGTACAAATAAGTTTGTAGATAACTAGCTGTTGCATTGGACTTTTTCTCTTCTGAATATAAAATGTGCTTTGTTTGTTAGTTTGGGGAAATAGGTAAAAGTTGCTATATCTCTCATGCTCTAAGATTTTTTTTCTGGACAATTGCATCCTGCTTTCTGAACCCCTGTCTCCCACAATAACAGTTGAATTATGATATTCTTTTATCATAATACCGCTTTTGGTTTATGGAGTTAATACACTTTCTTTGCAGTTTTGAATAAACATAAAAGAGCTGTATAATGTTCATTTATGCACTGGATGTATTTAATACCTTGTTTCTTTTGCATGACAGCCAGAAGAACTCAGGATGAGCAAAAGGAATAATTTTGATATTCAAAGCACAAAAAGTGAGTAAAGCTTTTATAAAATAATTTCAGAAATACTTAATCTGCATATATAATGCTAGTCATGACTTGTTTTATTCATGCTCAAAGAGTAGATGAGTTTCCAGTAATAAAATTACTGTGTCCAATTTGAGGCTCTTCAGTACAAGACACACAAGGAGCTCCTGAGAGACTGTGGGAGCTGGACCTGTTTAGTGTGGGGAAGAGAAGGCTGAGAGGGAATCTCATTAACACATATAAATATCTCAGAGGCAGGTGCCAAGAGGGTGGTGCCAGACTCTTCAGTGGTGCCCAGAGACAGGATGAGGGGCAATGGTCATGAATTAAAACACAAGAGCTTCCCCCTCAACATGTGGAAGAGTGGCAGAGCCCTGGAACAGGCTGCCCACAGAGGTCATGAACTCCTTCTCTGGAGACATCCAAAACCCACCTGCACAAGGTCCTGTGTCACCTGCTTTAGGTGGCCCTGCCTTACAGGGGGTTGGACCAGATGATCTCCAGAGGTCACTTCCAGCCCTAACCATTATGTGAAATTGTGTTAGAATCACCTCTTGTCTCAGGAAATGAAAAAGAAATAACTTACAACTTCTTTAGGTTTGTTTGCTGTAATTAGACTATTTTAAAATAGTGTTTTCTGCAGATGTTTTAAGGAAGTAACCTTGTGAATTTAGCAGCCAAGTCACACTGAGCTGTGTTTGAGATGTACCATTCAGCACTTTCTTAGGCTGAAGCAGTAGCCCTATTGTTACTACTGTGACTGTTCTGAATCTTAGAATATTGTAAATGTATTTTATACATCTACTGGGAATTAAAGGGAAGCTATTAAAAGTCCATGGAACTATGATAGTGGGCTAGAAGCTTTGGTAAGTGGGAAGTCCTCAAGGTTTTAGTTAAATGCAGTGTTGTCTCAAATTGTTAAATGTTTTTAAAAGCTGTGGTAGCAACTAGATGACATTTCACATGCACCTGGACATTGTTGGCCATTTGACAATTCTCTTTGGGTGTTTAGGGAAGAATATTTCAATTGGGAGCACAGTCTGCTTGTGAATTTAGCTTGGCTGATAGACCACTACTGAATCAGCAGGCTGGTGAAGTATTTTCTTTCTAGTAACTAGAGGAGGAACAAATAGTACATTCTTCTGTATCTATTATAAAATTCAACAATAAGGAAAGGGATATCTACTGTCCTTTATCCAGTAATCTACTTGAAGATGCATGTGATTGAAAGAGGTGAAAGCTACTGCTCTGTAGCTGATCCATAGCAATTCCAGTACACTCACTGTGCTCATAAACATGATTCTGTATTTTAGTCTGTGTTCTCTGTGGACGGACAGATGACTGCCCTGAAAAGTATGGAGAAAAAAGGACCTATGTGGAATACAATCTCACTGTTCATTATTACTGTTTGGTAAGTGTATGGTAATGATATTTGGGTTTTCTGGTTTATCTGAAAAAAAGGTGCAACAAGTATTTAATACTAATAACCTGTCACGTTTTTGTAATAATTTTGTTGTTGCAAAGCTTGAAATGTGAGCTTTAACTCATAGCCCTGAAAGCTTGTACTTGTCAGGTGCAGCAGATGAAATAAGTAAATCCCAACAAGCCTTTATTCAAAGCTAAATTCTGTTCATGGTCCATTTAAAGGAATTCATTAATTCTCCTAACCTATCATAGCAAATAGCAATGAAGGTACATCTTAAGACAAAAGGAACAGTTTGCACTTACATATTGCCTCCTATAAAAAAAATGTAGTTTCAAAATTTGAACTGTGAAAATTCCACCAGTGTGGAAAGTACAGAATTTTTTTTTTAATTTCTTAATATTTCTTGCTGGCTGTGAGCTGTTCTCTGGCATTACACAGAACATTGTAACAACTTAAGTCTTAATTTTCAGTTAAGTTATATGTAACCTGTTGATCATATCAGTATAGTTTCACTAAATAGTACAAGTGTATAATTTAAACAAAGCTATGGCTGTAACTTGAAGCTTTTGTTATCACCCTTGACATTTTCCAAGTTTCATATTCCTAAAGGTATACTTAAATTTCCTCTCAAACTCTAAATTTTTGCAAGTCTTTAAAATAACATTACTACTTCACCAAAAAAAGAAATCTTTTGTTTGTTAATAAATATAATTTGAATTGTTCTCCCCAATTTTAAAATGAGTGTCGAGTACCAGAAGTAATGTAGGAGGTATGTTTTCTCAACAAGTTCTTTAAAGAGTGTTGATTGTAGATGATTTAATAGTTTGGATACTGAATCCTTTAAAAACTAAGGAGAGTGGAGGTTTTCTGAAGTTACATAAAGATAGAGAAATTTGATTTTAAATATATTTTAAGCAGCTGTAAGGAAATAGAGGCCATTATACCATGTTAGTGGTAATTTTGTCTCCTATATAAGGCTATATCAAATGATAAGAAAAAATCCTATCCTGATAAACAGGTAGGAAAAGGCATGCATGCAATACTGAACTTTAGCATTTAAAAGGTATTTTAACTGCAGGAAGCTCATTGTAGTATCTTTAACATTTTTTGTGTCTACTTCTTTTAAAAATGTGCAAAGCCCTGTGATTTTACTTAAATACAGTGTATGTTATATAAGAAAAGAGTTCTACAAAGAGGCACATTAGTGACAGTTTAATTATTCTTTGCCAAATGTCTCACAGTTGGAAAAATATATTTAATTGGTTTGGGTATGTAATCTTACATTTATTTGAGTACAATATTGATAAAACTAGTTTAAATGGTACTATGTTGACATTATAAAATGAGACTGTAAAGAATATAAACGGCATCAAGTTGTGAAACTCTTCAGTTATTTGAAGACTGTAATGTTGCTGCCTAACTTTAAATTATCATCAAGCTCTTCTGATTTGCCTAGTTACTTGATTCTGTGTTTATTTAAATCTCCTCTAAAGCGAATTACTTTCCCTCTTAGGTGACACTTCAGTACAGTTACTTCCTACTGTGCTTCATTATCTTCACAGCACAATTGTCATTCATATTAACTAAGCTAATTTAATTTTACTTCCTCTGAAGATTTATATGCTGAAAGTAATTGTTTGACAATTATCTGAATAGTCTGTATACTTCAAAAAGGAAGGCAAAATACACTATCTCTGGCCCTACAGTATTATACAATTACTCTGTTATGAAATACTTATTTTCATTTTACTGGTTATTGTCATGTCAGACAAAAATGTGTTTTATATCAGATTTTTAATCATTAAAATGTTTCCATGTGAGCTTTTTTAGACTAAACTTCTCTCTTACTTGATAAGCACAGTGTATGTAATTTTAAATCTTTAGATTAGGTGGATGTTTTGAAATATTTAATTTGTTTTTGTAGTTAATGTCAAGTGGCATTTGGCAGAGGGGTGAAGAAGATGAAGGTGTAGATGGATTTTTGATCGCAGATATTAGAAAAGAAGTAAAAAGAGCTGCAAAACTGGTAAGAATGATGTCTTTGGTATTTACAAGGGGAAAAAGGTAACTTTTAAGTGCTCGTAGTACTGCCTGTGGGGTTTGTTTTCTTCCTCCAATAGACAATGTGCTGAACCCATTCAAGCACCTGAACTCTATGTTTAAGTAACAAGTGTGTTGGATTTGTGGAAGACACAAGGAAAAAAACCCTGCAGAAATTGTAATGATGCACCCTTAAGGAGAAGGGAGCACCTAAGATTTTGCTTATTGGGCAAAAGGAGTGACAAAAGTCAGAGGGTCCACTAGAGGTCAGAAAGTTTAATTAGTCATTTACACACTTGGCCTTGGGCTTTGTGGGGGGTACCTTTTTGGGGATAGGTTTCTCCACCCCAAAGGTAGATTTCTTGCCCTCTATGTAAATTAGTTCTCATGAGCAGTCTGTTGTTTCAGGCCTTTCTGGAAGTGAGTTGGAGGGCTTTGGGGTCTAAATCCTACCCCATAGTCTATGCCCACTTCTGCTCCACATTCCTGTGCTTGCACTATGCTGTGTTGTGGTTCTTTCTCATAGACAAGTGAATCTCTGCTGGGCCCTCTGCTACAGTCAAACCTTCTTTCTCACGGTGTGTCCCGGGTTCTCACCAGCAGTTTGTGTGTGTTACTGCCAGCAGTCCCTGGTTGGCTCCACTGGGGTTGTCAGTGTTTGAGACATGCACATTAGCCCCATGTCTTCTGGGAATCCAGCTCCATGGTCTCACTTTGGTCACAAGAGGGCTTTAGTGACAGTAATTTTCCGTCCTGGCTGCAATTTGAGTTGGTAACTTTCTCTGAAGCTTCAGTAACGAAAATACTATTCCACTTGGGTTGTTATTCAGGCAAGAAAACAGTTTCCAAGGCTGTTTGTTATAAAACAGGAACTCATTAGATACCTGTTAGTTTCTGGGAGCAGACAGTGTTTCTGATGAGCCTCAGGAGAGGCTTAGTCTAATGCAGGCTGAGGCCTGGTGAATGTTTCTGAGATCACAGTGTGGCCTGGATGCTTCATTACAATTCACCCCACAACTGAAGTCAGCTTCCCTGGGCCTCTAGAGTTTGCAACTATTGTTATTCCACAGGTAAGTTCCAGATAAATAAGAGTGAATTAAACTTTCATAATACCTCATGACATTGTGCTGAGCTTGAAGCTGAGAGTAAATAATTTATAGATGCCTATATATAAGCATATATATGTCTATGCCTATTATAGCTGTATAAACTATAGGTACTGGTAAAATAACGTGTATGTTATCTTATATGTCACAAGACAATATGCATATAAACCAGTACATTAAGTCTGGGAAATAACTGCATATGTTTACTCTTTGTAACAGAGCTAAACCACATTAGTCTTGTCACAATTTTAATCTATTAGCTACTATTCTTTCTTACACTTTTTGTAACTTTCCTATTGGTTTAATTCCTATAATTTTACTTGTATTTAAAATGTTAATATTCTGTTTCCAAAACAAATTATTTCCAGAAATGTAATATCTGTAAGAAAAAGGGAGCTTCAATTGGATGTGTAGCTCCTAAATGCAAACGAAGTTACCATTTTCCTTGTGGGATACAAAGGGAATGCATTTTCCAGTTTATGGAAGACTTCAGGTGAGTTTTGGGGCTTTGTAGTTTTTCCATTTTCAATTTATTGTATTTATACAGGAGGTGACTTGGGTTTCTTTCATGCCTTGTTATTGGATAGGCTGATAGTTGCAAATGACATCAGATTATCTAGGAATCAAATACCTGGTTTGTGGTAGACATGAAAGTCAAACAGTTACATTGTGTACCTAATATTTATAAACTCAATTCTCAACACTTTTAAATACATGAGTTTATGCTTATACAAGTAATTAAGTTGTTTATAAAACTGAGCAGTAAATTCTGAGCTCTGAAATAAACTGCATAATGGTCGATTTGGGTATTTGTTTGCATGTCTCCTGTGCCTTTCTTGAAATGGCAGAGCTTTGGATACCTGTATCTCTCAACAGTCACAACACAGTGTCTGCCATTTTGTTGTGTTTCCAAGTTTCTCAGAGAGGGACTTCAGGGGAAATGGGCTTAATATCAAATGTCAAAAAAATTGTTTTCTTTTACTGTCATCTGTCTAGCATCTTGGCTGTAGTCAAAATACTCTTGAGTGCATTATCCTTCTTGTTGTGAGCTGAGTTTGTAGGGTAGATGGATTGAAGTCTGGCAGACAGTTAACACAAAACAACTTGCATTACCTCAAGTAGGTGTAAAGGTAAGGCATTTTCAGAAAGGTTTGTTCTAGAGCTGCATTTCTTGGATGTCATGATATGGAATATCCCTTAGGTCAGTAGGGATTAGCCATCCCAGCTGTCTCACCTCCCAGTTCCTTGTGCATCCCTACCCTGCTCACTGGTGGGGAGGGGTGGGAAACAGAAAAAGTCTGGACTGTTCAAGATCTGCTGGGCAATAGCTAAAAACATCACTGTGTTATCAACACTGATTTCTTCACAAATCCAAAACATCACCATACAAGTTACTATTAAGAAATTTAACTCTAGCCTAGCCAAAACCAGTATATCTGCATTTTTAGCTTGTTGCATAGCACTTACTCATGAAAAATTGATTAATGAATTAATTTTGATGTCTTTAAATTTTATGAAGAAGGTTCTTAAAATGTTGTTTTGTTAACAGAACCATAAATTACTCTTTTTAGATCTTACTGTTGGGAACATAGACCAGTCCAAGAGTTTATGGACAAAGAACCTAGAGGAGCTTCACAGTGCACAATATGCCTGGATTTGGTTGAACATCTTCCAGTGTACACTGTATTGAAAAGTCCTTGCTGTAAAAATGCTTGGTTTCATCGAGAATGCTTGCAGGTAATACAGGTTCTCCCTTTCAGTCTTTTTGCATCCATGGAGATCACATTTCTGTTTAAACATAATGGAACAATTGCTTACTGGTAAGTGTAGGTAGTAGGTATGAAGTATACTAGGTTTGAAGAGCAGTGCTAAAATTGCTTTATGCACACAAAAGGATTTTGAGGTTTTAATGCTATTAATTTTTCTCTCCCTGTGGCCCCTCCATGTTTCTGCATGTATGATACATATTTCATGCCTTTGCTACTTTTAGGAACTGAAGTTCAGCAAGTTTCTTGCAAGTCATTATGTGTAGAATCTGAGTGCTAAAAATGTAATTTATCCATCATCAGTTCTCTTTGGCTAAATCCAAGACTAGAAAAAATTATAGCTTTCTTTTTGTAAACTTACACTGGATCTGGAGAGGGTACTTACACTGACTGAAAAGGATGGTGCTTTTGTTTATGGATCTTATTCTGGCATATGAGCTCTTTCCTTAAAGGAAGAGAAAATTCTTGCCATTTGCTTTTATGTCAAGTCACATCATAACTGATACCAGCTTTAACACCCATGTCAGGACGGTATCCATGAATGTAATGTGTCTGAATATTAAGACATAATTTATTGTCATATTAAGGATGGTAGTAATTCAATAATTGGTCTGGTTTCTTTGTTGTGTTTTTTGTTCTTTTCTTGGCACAGTATCAAGCTTTGAGTGCTGGGATATTTTTCTTTAGGTGCACAGTATGTAATAACAAGGACAAATTTCAAAATGAAATGTTGAGAATGGGCATACACATTCCAGAAAGGTAAGTAATTTTGTTAATGACTACTCTTGTATGAAAACTTTGATAGGCTGTTATAAACATTTATTTTATTCTACAGAGCTTCAGCTATTAATATGTGAAATGTTGGTTCTACCTTCAGTTGTAGAATTGTTCAGTTTGGTAAGGAGTAGCCTGTTTCCTTTTAGATGTGCATAAAAATAGGCAAAGGTGAAATTGGTTCTATCAAACACAAAACAGAAAGCTCTGAAAAGTCACTTTTAATGGCATGATTCAGCTTAAATTCTAAACCCAATTGGAAGATAAAAGCACTTCTTAAATACAATAATTTTTCCTTAACGTAGAGATTGCTAAGAAGTGTATCTTCTGTGTCCAAGTTTAATTATCTGAATTTCTGTCATGGCTGATTACTCAGCTATACAGCTCCTGTCTTCTGCCAAGGGATTGCAAAGGTTATGTTAGTATAATATCTGCTTTCAAAATTCCAAGCTGTTTTTCCTGTTTCTGTCACCTGAAGAGTCTCAAAATATGACAGAAAGAGATCAGAATGATGCTTCTTTGTTAGAAGTATTATTACTTAATAACTATTAGCTTTCAGAGAGCACCATCAATTCCCTCTTGAGACAGAAGCTTAAGATTCTGGAGAGGAGGAAGAGTCAAAATAATTTATGAACTTCACCATACTGTCCTGGAACATTCTGAGTTACCATTCATGAAACCAATTTCAGTTGTAACTCATGTACGTTGCCTAAACAAATATCCATGTTTTCTGTGAGAGAAAAAAGGGATGGAGACAGAGCAAATGTGCTGTGTCACTGAAGTCATATGAAAAATAATAAATACTTGAAATCAAAATAACTTTATGCAAGAAAAAGTCTGTGTTTTATAGTATTATTTTAGTTACTAGACTTCCTCCCCCTTCCCCCTCTCACTTACCTAGAAACCCCCCGTCTGTTACCTAGTACATGACATGATTGGAATATATTCATATGTTTGTTGCATATATCTTTTTCAAAATACCGGGCAACACATTGAAACAATCAGAAATAGAGTTCTGATATCCAATCTTCTGCCTTGTTTACAGGGATGCATCTTGGGAACTTGAAGAAAATGCATATCAAGACTTACTGCATTGTTATCAACACTGTGATGTTAAAAGGTGTCTCTGCAAGAAAGGAAGAGACTATAATGAACCTGATAGGTATGATACTTTAGCAGGAAAGTATAACTTGGGATATAATAGGTTTTTTGACATATTTTTCATTGTTGTGATTTATAATTTTTGTGTACATAAGTGTTTGGGGTTTTTTTGGCATCACATTTTAATGTCAAGCGAACACACTGTCTAGATAGTGTTTTTGTTTTACTCAATATAATCATATTTCAGTACTAAATTTCTCTAACTTCATCTGGTTATAAAAGCCATGAAAACCAAATTAAATGGATTATCAGTTACTTTGTCCTCATTTTTTACAGGCTGAAGTAGAATTTATGCATCAACACAGCATGTACCTAAATTAATGTTGTGTATGTATCATTCAGAGTTTAATTCAGCAATTTATTAAATGTTAACTTCTTGTAAAGGCTATAAGTATTTTATTGTTAAAGTAGTAGACTTAGGTCGTCAGTAGTTTGAATGTTTCCCTAGAGAGCTCTCCTTTAAATGAATTACTATTTGGAAAAGCTGACTGGTGGATACCATAAAACACAGAGGAGTTTGCTGACTAGCAGGAGGAGAAGAAGATAGTGCTTGCAATCTGTTGACTTCAGAACAGAGGAGTACTAATAGCCTCACTCAGTGCAAGCTGCTGGAACATGAGTAGCTTTTTTTTCTTATTGCAGCCAGTTATGAGTATATCTTGTGTGAAGAAAGTCTCCTTAATTAGAATCAGTTCTGCCAGACTGATAAAATTATGCTTTATTGGTTTAGTGTCAGGAGTGCCCTTATGATTAGTCTTTGTTTTAACTAGCCTCATTCTTCTGTCTAATTCTAAATATCAAAGTTTTTCCTTTTAGTAAATGGGAAATTCAGCGTTGCCAGTACTGCGGTTCTCGTGGGACTCATTTGGCCTGTTCATCTCTGAAGGCATGGGAGCAAAACTGGGAGTGCATGGAATGCAGAAGTATCTTTGCAAAATCAGGTGAAGTTATGGATGTGACAGTGATTTCTTAAATGATAACTTCAGGTTATATAAGCATATTTTGCAACTAAAAAATTCATTAATTAATAAATTGTAATCCTACAGGGAAGTATAGCAAACGGAAAAAGCGTGCTTTGTCTGCCTCTGAAAATTCAAATGGAACACCTTGTTTGCTGGAAGAGCCACCTCCAAAGTCCCCTCGGCAGTCATCTGGATCTCCACGCAGTTTTCTACTCCAGTGTGTAATTTTCTGTTTTCTCACAGAAATTGATCATTGCCTAAGATAATACTTAAACATGAGGAAATGATGGCTTATTCCATAGGAATTAAATAGCAAATCAAATTAAATTTAGAATAAAAAATTTAGTGATTGAAGTTTTCTGAGTAAGCCATGAACTCTGTAAGTTTGCTATAGTTATTTGAATTTGGTGGCATGTAAACCATTTTTTAGTTTGGTAAAGATAGATCCTTGTTAAAGGAGTTTCAACAATTTAGTGGTAACTTAAGAACATACAAATGGCAAAGCTTTAAGTTTGCTTATTGGAATTTTTTCCATTTTAATAGTGTTCTAGAAGTCTGACTTAAAGACAGATGTTCATAATAATGTTTTCCTCTGCTGTTTTCAAGTTTGTAAGAACTAATATTTTTAGTTTTTACTTACTGTGTCAGTCAGGGCTTTCATCTGTTGTATTAGATGCAGCTAAAAACACATCCTAATTAGTCCATGGTGTAATAAAATACAGAATCATTATTTTCAAAATTGTAGTTCAGGCACTGGTGAACTTCATGGAAATGGAGATACAAATGAGATTCAGTACTGATTTAGGGGGAAACTATACTGCTACCTTGAAATAGGAAGTGTTCATGCATTCTTCAGTTCTATCTTCTTAAAATACTATTTTGACTTCTAGATCACCAAAGATAATGTGCCAGAACTTGTCACCGTGCTCACACCTAGAACAGCCAGCATCCAACAGAGTGACAGTGTCCCCATCTCCAGTGATGTCAAACTGGAACTGGTCCCTGAGGCACAAGTATTTCTTCTATTTTTCTTATTTTGAAGAGTAATCTAGCACATGGCTTTTTACTGTATTTCCTACAGACTGTGTGTGTGTGTGTGGTTTTGTGTATATACAGTATCTATACGTATCTGTGTGTATATACAGTATCCATATATATTTCTCTGTGTGACTCTATACAGTATGCCTATATATTTGTGTGTGTATATGTATATAGTCAGTCAAAAATGAGATGAGTTTACACTTAAAATCAGAAGTCATAGCTTGAGAAAGGCTTCTGCTGTTTATAAATGCTAGAGGGGTATGAGGGGAAAAGAATGAAAACTATGGAGAGTTTTTAGGTTAGGTGGTCAGGGGGTCAAAACCCAGAAATGCATATTTGTCCTTACTGATGCATGGCTAAACATTCTTTAGAAAATAGGGAATTAAAAGAATCCTAATTGCTTTCTTCTAATTAGATAGGTCCTAAATTTTTAATGTTTTTGTATTTGTACCATATGAATACTTGTGACTGTACTAAAGTCAGTGCTAAAACAACATGTTTTAATATAGAATATTCAGTTTGAGGACATAAAATTCATTATCTTCTTGTGAGTAGTTAATTTATGGATTCTACCTTATGTGCTAAAAATTCTGATAAGCAAATAAGGTGTTTCTAGTAAATATACTATTTGAGATAGTTTTGGTTGGAAGCTCATAAAGAAAACATCTTGTTTTTTTTAATGAGAATTTTCTTCCCTCTCAAATATACTTTTTTTATTATAGTGATGATTGTTCTAGTTTGGTTGCAAAATATCTGTAGGGCAAAATTATAAACTTCAATTTCTTACTTGTTTCATTCTGTTTAAATGTCAACTCGTGTGATGATGGCTTGGTACTGTGTTGGAGTCACTGAATTAAGACAATCACTATTTGATTTATGCCAGGGTAATTATTTCACCCTCTTTTTTCAGTTCTTAAAGGTATTCTAAAACTTCCCACTATAGTGTTAAAATTTTTTTAAATATATACTAAATGTTTTACTGATATAATTCAGGCAATACCTGAATGTGCCACAGTGTTTAAAGAAGTGTTCTTCTTAATATACTATTTAAATATTTTTTGTGTAACTGTTGTTAATTACGAATCATAGATTTAATCTGAGAATACATGCAATTTTCTTGTAGGTATTTAAGACAGCAAAGAAAGGAAGTTTGTAATATACTGAAGGAGTTAAAGGTACAAGTTCAAACAAAAACAACAAGACTTAACATCAATGCAGAAAATATTTGGAGTAGTGCTTTAAAAGGATTTAGACAGCGCATCTTCAGTCCTACAAACACTATTGAAGTAAATTTCTCAAACTGCAAAAATAGATCGAAGACAAATACTTCTTCTGCATCAAAACACCATTTCTTCCAAGTATTAATGCTTCACCTTCAGAATTCATCATTGTTTGAGGGCTCTTTTGGAAAGAACTTGTCCCTTGATTTTCAAGGTAATTAGTTGCTTTATTCAAAAGCGAATTGAGAAGTGTATAACTTAAAATATTTTTTAATCTTTATCCAGTATGAGCATCAGTTCACAAGTATAGTCCTGAAGGATAAAAATTGGGGATTGATTTTTTTATTTTTTCAATTCTAAAGAAGGATGGTGTGTGGATTTGTAATTTTAAAAATTTGGGTTGGTTGGAAAAGTCGACTACAACCATTGAAAAACAGCATATAACTAGACTTGGAACTTTTTAGTTAGTGTATTTGTTTTCTTTAATTTAATTTCTTTCTTTCTGTCTCGCTTTCTCTGCTAATTATTTTCATTTCCTCAAATTTTTAGAGCATTATTTCTCATAGTGTGCTTCCAAAAGACCCCAAGTTAGCTTCTTTGAGTTCTTATGCTTCAGAATTAAATATGAGTTTGGTGTAAAGTGGAAGTTACATCTCCCAATCCTTGATAGTGGCTGAAGAGCTGGTGTAAAAGAATGTGGTACTCCTATGTAAAAATATGGTCTTATAGTTTAAACTGTCAGAAGATAGCAAAAGTCATTAAGAAAAAACAGTACTATGACATTTTCTACTAAAAAATGATCAAAAATAATTTCTATGCATCTAAATAAACATACATTTTTATTTGCAGCTTTAAAAGAAAATCTTTATTTTGAAGCTGGTAAAATGATTGCTGTTTCTCTGGTTCATGGTGGTCCACCTCCTGGTTTCTTTTCCAAAACGCTGTTCAAATGTCTTGTCTATGGTCCAGAGAATGCGAAGCCAGTTTTGGAAGATGTTGCTGATGTTGATGTAGCACAAACAATAAAAACGGTAATATGCAATAAGTTTCTTTTTATTTCTTGCTCAAGACTATATTTGGAGATAGAGAAGGACTTACTGAATATAAATTATGTTGAAATTAAAAGGTTTATTTTTCAGAAATGTTTACTACACGTGTGTATACATAAGTGCCTAACTTATCTTTTTATGCAGATAAAGTATGCAAATAGTCTGTCCAGCCTACAGTCTACACTACAGGACTGCTGTGAATTCCTCACTGCTGCTGGCTGTTTTAGACCTGTAACAGCTTTGTGTGATAAGAACATGCTGGTGAATGACATACTGATCTATCATGTAATCAAGAGAATTACTTTACCCCTAGAAAGGTTTGTTTTGCTTGAGTTTTCAAACTTCTTGGTTCTTCTCCTCACTGCAGCTCTAAATGATATGTTGCTAAAACTAACTCTCAGGTATTCTTACTTACTCCATTTAAACCACTGAAGTGTACTGTAATTTTCAGTTGTTTAAGTAGCAGCTGTTAACTAAGTAGTTAAACTGAAAAACTTTTTTCTCTACATATCTGCTCTGACTTCTCCTTGGTCACGTTACATTCCCTTTTCAACCTTATTAAGAAGGCAGATTCACAGTTTTTAAGCTACAGCATCACAAAGACCTTTGCACTGTTAAATTTCTCTAGCTTATGTTCAATTCTAATTCAGAATTGCTCGAATTTACAATCTTTGTTTTAGAAATGTTTAACATATGTTTAGAATTCAAATGAGTTTTCTAGAGTTCTAATTAGGGAGTTGGTGTGTGCTATTAGGAGTGCAATACTCTAAACAAGTGTAAGTTGGCCTGCTTAGAATATAAGCATTGCATTGATGTTTCTGTGAGATAGTGATAACCTCATGAGCTGGAAAAGTTGCAGCTCTTGACTGTTCTTTGATTGGTCTCTGGCCTTACTTCCAATTCGCATTCTTCATCTGCTCAGTAAAAATTTATTGGATGCTAATTTTTCCAACAAGCATAGCCTGATTTAAATTTCACATATAGTATTACCTCTGACAAATTTGATTACTCTGTCTCAAAGACCTATGAAAACTGATTCTTAATATGAGGATTTTTTTAAATGAAGGTCAGAAGAATTTAGTCCTTTAGTTCAAGGCCCTCTGGCATATTTGAACAGTCTATATCATATTTTAAAATTAGTGAGTTAAACAGTAAAACATAATAATTAGTGCATTTAAACAAATGCACTAATTCAAACACATAAATATTAAGTTAACTTGAAACACCATGAGGTAGTGGAGTTTAGAGCATTTGAGAGATGGGCTTAAGGTGGGCATAAGAGAGTAGAACAAGAAATTACTTGTCACTATAACGGACTAGGGACTTGGTTATTTTAGCTGTTAAATGTTCTGTGCCAGTGGGCACCACTGAAAAGAGCCTGTCTCTGACCTCCTATCTCTTCAGATATTTCTACATGTTGAGATTCCACCTGAACCTTCTCTTCTCTAGGCTGAAGAGTCCCAGCTCTCTGAGCCTCTCAAAGGGTTATGCTGTAGTCCCTTAATCTTTCTAGTCACCCTTTGCCAGAACCTGGCACTGCACACAGCACTTAAAGTGTGGCCTTACTGCTACTAAGCAGGGGAAAAAGATCACCTCCCTTGAGCTGCTGGCAACACAGTTCCAGTACAGCCCAGCATGCTGCTGTCTGCATTTGTCACAGGCAGAAATAACAGCACATGCAAACTTGCAAAAGCCAAGCAAAGGCTATCTTATAAGAGAACTCATGTTGTCTATGGACAAGGAATTTAGGCTGTTTTCCAAAGAGCTATTTGTAAGAAAGCGAATTGCTATGTTTTCTTACTAAAGTTAAAAGTATGCCTTGTACATACAATCAAGTACCAGTAAATAAGGTTAATTTCTACATATCATTGGTATTTCTTTCATCTCCCCAAAAAGCTCTACAGAAACATTTAGATTGTTAAAATGAGACTTAAATGCATTTCCCAAGATAAAATGGGAGTACTATGTAACCTTCTTGACAAGATTTAGAGACTGGAGATGGGGAAGATTTATTATATCCCATCTTGCAGAGTTCTGATGCATTGTCACTCTTTTTTTATCCCCCTCTCCTAGTTTTAGGCAGGGTTTGAAAACACTTGGTGTTCTGGAGAAAATGCAAACGCACCCAGATGTGTTCTCTAGCATATTCTGCTACAAACCTGAAAGACTTTCAGCGGAAACTGTTTACAATCTCTTTACAATCCATTCCTCATCAGATGTAAATAAAGTTGAAGGTGCTGATTTTTGGATGGGCTATTTGCAAGATGTGGAAAGTAAGTTTTGGTTTGGTTTCTTTTTTGTTTTTTTGTTTGCTTGTTTGTTTTTAAATGAAAAAATCCTCCCCTTCCCTGTCCAGGTTATTTAGTTGCTGGTATACATACAGAATTTGATTTTTAGATTTCAGTGATGTAAATAAATCAAGGTTTTGTAGTCACTGTCAGTTCCTAATTGTTCCTTCTTCCCCCTTTTTCTTACTAATTAGAATTTCTCAAACTGTTGCCCAGACCTTTAGAGTGGTTAATATCTGAAAGATTGTCTCTTGGATTCTTGTGAATTTAAATATGAAAATCCAACACACAACCTAAGTGATACAGAAAAATCCTTTATTAGATAGATTGTCTGAAATCTTAAAGACCTCTGTTTCCTATCTTTTGCTTGCAGAAGAGATTTTTGTATTCACTTAAGATTTTTCAGAAGTAACTGAAGTGAGATTTTCTTGCTAAACTTTTTCTTAGGTAGCCATATAACTGCATATTTATTCAGCATATTGATTTGATTTCATATGGGGTTTTTTTCCCCTTAGCACTTAACATGTGGGGTAATGGCTAATGTGTAATAGACTATCAGTGATAAAACTTAATCCTTTTCTTTTAGGTGGTGACTCTGTAGTGACATTGGAGGATATTCTGCTCTTTGTAACAGGCTCCTCTTATATACCAGCCATTGGTTTTGATCCTGAACCTACTATTAAATTTTTACATATAAGGTATCCCATTGGAAACAGACTTCTTAATTGCTTAGAGCTTCCTAGAACAAAGACGTATCAGCAGTTCAAAAATAAAATGGAGCTCACCATCAGAAACACACTAAGAGTTGAAAGGGAGTAAGTATTTTTGCTATTAAACTGAATGTTGGAAACCTTGAGTTTTCTTCGGGAACATCTGCTTTCAGTTTGCTACTGTATTTTTGGACAACATGCTTTTAGTATTTTCTGACCTTTCCTCCAAAATTATGCTAAAAGTTGTTATGAGATGGAAAACAATTATCAAATTTAAAAAAGCCTTTATCTCCTGAAAAATTTTCCTTTTGAAGTTGACCTTAAGAGTCCTACATCTCATGCAGAAGTAGTTTAAATGTTAGCTTTTGCTGTAGACAGGTATGAAAAACACACTCTGTAACAGGCAAGTATGTGGATTGTATCAAATACTTAAGTAACTTATTTGTCAAAAACAAGCCAAGTACATTTTGAAGATAATTGCTGTATAGAGTTGTCTTGCATAAAACTGTGATGCAGTTCTTCAGTAATTGTTTTGTATTGATTCATTTATGTTCTTATGGAAGGTCTGGAGAAAACCGCTAAAATAATTCAGTGTAAGAACAAAATTTGGTTGAACTCGTGTCTCTGTTTTTAAACAAGATCTTTGACATTTGCACATTTCTGCATTCTACTGTCATACATTAATTTTTAATTACACATAGAGCCAAAATAGTAAAAACCAGAAGGAAATCTTGAACATGCAACAATACCTGGTCTTTCAAAGTGAAATATAGGAGTTAGACTTAATGTTTTAAAGTATGAAAGAACAAAAGTTTGTTGCTCATTAGAGCATATAAACTTGTCCTCCATTTAAGTATTTTCATTCAACCATGCACTAAAACTCTTTGTTAAACTAAAGGCAGTCGACCATCAAGCTTGTCTGGGCCTGATGCTTTTCTAGCTTTTATTCTAAATTCTTCCAGTTCAGTCATAGGCACATTCTGAGCACTGTATAAAATATATTTCAGTGCTGCAGTAATTTGTGTAAATGGCTGGGCCATTAAGCTGTAAAATATAAGTCGTGAAATTCCCATACAGCAATACTTTAATGTTACTAATGCAAAAACTATGACATTAAAAGGACATTTAAATACATTATTTTTAAATGTATGCTGCTCTCTGTTTTGAAATTATACTATTTCCCTCTGTTTTGACTGCCTGTGCTATATGTCCTTAACATAAGCTGTGCTATACATGTAATACAGATACATGCATCTGTCTATATGTATGCACATTATTCAAAATACTGGAAAATAATTATATACTTTTTTTATTAATATAGCTTGGTTTGAATTGAAAATATAAGCAGGATCACTTTACATTTGAATTCTTTGGCAAGAAAGTACATCCACAGTAATTATAAATGGCTAGGTGCTTCTGCAAAAATAATAGAAAGTCTAAGGAAATCATTGCAAGTCCTTATAGATCAGACATTTTTCATTACTAATGCCTAAAACAATCTAATCTCATCAGTCTTGTCATTATAAATTTAAGACTATTAGAAAGTAAGACAAGATTTAGAGTGGTTTTTGCTTGTTGGCCAAAAGCATATTCAAGTCTCCTTTAAAAGAAACATATCATCTCTTGGAGAATGTAATTTGGCTTTTTTATATACTAAACATTTTCTCAGTGTCTTCTCCAATAATATTTTGTGTTTCTGATCTTTGCATAATTTTTGACTCTCATTATGTCAATAAATTCTTCTAGTCTTAGCATTCCCAATGGTCTGTTACCATTACAGTGAGAGTGGTTTGGCACAAATTTGTTTACATAATAAAGATTTATGTTGTATGTTTGTATTTTTCAAATATAATTACTTTCCTGAAAATATCATATTATACTTTAAAAATGGGTGCAGTATTTGTTTTTCTTGCCTAGCTAATGATGAATATGTTCTCTAATGTTATTCTTCCATATGAGAAGTACAGATTTTACAAAAGTAGCAAGCAGAATGTGACTAATTTTAAAGGATGAGGACTTTTGGTACCTGCAGTGGCAAGAGAAATTGTTCAGAACCTGGAACTAATAAACAGCATTTTAAAACCTTCAATGGGGAAAGAAGTAATAAAACAATGTGAACATAAGGCTTCAAAACATACCTGAGATTACAAAAATAGAGTTCACACCTTTTATTGCTTATAACTTTTGAACTCAGCAGTTAAAAGGCTTTTATATAAAGGCAGAACTAACTTATATGCCAGATATAAAAAATGTCAACTTTAAAACGATCTTGCACAGATTTTGTTCCCATTGTCCTGAACGGGTACATGTCAGTGTCAGACAAGTTGTCTTCCCTTTTCTATTGATTTGATCAGCTCTATCTAGACACTCCAATACAATACTTCATATATTCAAGTGGTATTCCTGAATGCTGCTATGGAAAGCAATTTCCTCATTTTCAGCATTTCTATAGACCAGTCATAAATTCTTTTGAACTGTTCATTAGAATTCCATTGAATAAGCTAACTTCCAAACACAGAATTGTATCCCTTGTCTTGACATTGTAGAAACAATTTATATAGTTATAAGGACCCTATATTTTTTATTGTTGTAGCAGATCATTGAAGTGCAATATTATGGGGTAGTTTTCATTTTACATAAATATAGCCTGAGGCGTACCTTGAAATTAGGGAGGCTACTTACTTTCAGTATTTCTGTAACACAGGGAGAATAATTGTGTACACATCAATGTATAAAATATATTATAGACAGTGCTTCTTTTATAAGATTTGTCAGCATCATGAAAGAACTATTGCAGTCCTTTTTGTGTTTGGCCAAAGAACTTCACCTCACAGTTTCTGCATCAAACCTTTAGTTTCCATCTGGAATTAGCACATCAAATAAGCTATTTGTTTTCTAGAGTGATAATTTTCTGCTAAACTGTAATATATTAGTATCAGTGGGTTTAGTATGGTCTCCTTAATAATGTAGATAGAATAAAAAAACCATCGTCAAGTATTTTAGCTCTATGTCTGAAAAACCAAGGAATAAGAAATCTGTGACTTGCTTTTTTGCCCATTCAGAGGATGCTTACCAGAAAAAGCTGTTAAGTTTTTTAACTGAATGAAAAGTGAAATATAGTCCAAAGGAGAAAAAATTTCTTTGTACTACAAGTCTAAACCATTGTGTGCTGCACCTTTGATTATCTTCATTAAGATGTTATGTCCTGGAATTTGAAAACATGAGAATTTTGAATTAATTCACGTTCACATTCTGTATATGCAAAAAAATCTACTTTAAATAAAATTGCAACATACAAGCCTACAAAATATGCCTTTCAAGTATATTTTGAATCTGTTTTATATGGTAAAACATTTTAAAGATCAAACTTTTCTGTTTCTTACCTAAGGGAATATCTAATAGGAAAAAAGAAAAATAAAAATGCAAAAACTTTTAATGTGTCAAATCATATGTATACAGAAAATCATTTTCAAAATGTTAATGTTTGTAAAAAAACTATAACCAACCTGCTGATTTTGTATTACATAAACAATGATATTTTTAAAGTTATGGTATTTAGAATGTTATGCAATATACTGTAATTTTGTAAATTTTTTTAGCTCTAACTTGAACTCTGCAGGATCAGTGCCTAAACTCTGTTGCATCTTCAAGCAATATTTTGTAGCATCAGTGTTGAATAATCAGTAATTGTGGGAAATACCGTGTATATGTGCAAAGTGCAATAAAAGGTTAAATACGTAGCTTCCGTGTTTTTATTTTGTTGATTTATGGATTTTAGCTCTAGAAGTGTTATCACTATTTTCTATAGTTTCATCTGCGTACTTGTAGATTTACACAAATGTTTATCCGTGGTATCCAAAGCTGAGCTGGGGCAAGGCGGCTCTTTCCCGGGGGGATTGCTGTAGGGGCACGAAGGCAAGGGGCCTGCGGGTATGTGCCATGTGAGGCAGACGGAAGGAAACTTGTAACTATTCTCCATTACGGTAACTCACTAAAACTACATTACTTTATTTCTAGCTAGATCCTTGGTTTTGAAACATCAGTCCTTCCGTTTAGTCATGAGGTGGTCGTATCAAAACTGTTTCAGTTATTTCTTCTTGAAACTTCAGTCCAAGAGCATAACCTACCACCTACTCCACAGAAAAGCGGTGCCAAAGAGCGTCCCCGGCCCTGTGCTCAGCCGGGCACAGCATGGGCCAGGGTTTTCCATCGTCAGCGGGCGCTCCTGCCGGGCCCGCCCCCGGCCCGGGGCTCGCCACGTGTCGCGGCGGCTGCGCAGGCGGCGGCGGGGCGGGGCGGCGCGGCCGGGCCGGCGGCGCGGGAAGATGGCGGCCGGGATCCGGGAGAAGCAGACAGGTGAGCGCCCGCCCGCGGTCCCGGCGCTCGGGCGGGGGAGCGGCCCGGCCGCACGCCGCCGCCGCCGCGCCCGCCTCTGGCCCCGCGGGGCGGGCTGCGGGCGCCGCCGCGCCTCCGCCGCGGATTCGCGCCCTCTCACCCGGCTTGGGTCTCCCGGCAACGGGGTGGCGGCCCCTCTGCCGCCTTCTCCTCGCCTCTGCGGCAGCGGGCCCGGGGCGGCGGGGCTCCAGAGCCTCGGGCCGCAGTTCTCGCTGAGGGACCCCGGCCCCGCTTGGGCCCCAGGCCCCGGGGACGTGGTCATAGGTGCCGCCGAGGTGTGGAAGGCGCTCCCGGGGCGGGACTTGGCCGGGCCCGGGCCGTGAGTGGTGCCTTCTCCCGCGGCCGTGGGAGCGAGTGCACCCTCCGTTTCGGTTTCTTTCTGCCCGTGGGAAAGATCGACGGGAATCAGTATTTAATGGTGCAAAACTAAAGTTATTGTTGTCATGTTCTTGTTAAGACAATACAGGGGCATCCATGTCTGTACTGACCCTCAAGAAGTTGGGAATACGATAATAACAACTGAACTAATTGCATGAGGATTTCTGTGAGTAAAGGGTTTGTTAGTTCAGTCCCTTCTTAGACATTGCTGAGAGTCCTTAATTGATTCTTCTCTGCCTTGGTGGTGCTGCTGTGTAAAGCCTTGGACATACTCCTAAAGCACAGGGAATGTCAGCTCCTTAGTCCTCTACTTCCCTTGTTTGCCAAAGTTGCAGTCAGTAGTTAAGCTGTAATCATGACACTTTCTCCTTGACAGCTGCAGTATCTTTGGTGGTATAGAGGATTCTGGATGCATTTGGTTAGCATGAAATGTTTCAAATCATCTGCCTAAAAATCTCAGTCACAGTCTCTGTGGACATTAAATATTTTACTAGTATGCTTAATTTTTTGGTACCAGTCTACTTTTTTGTAATCTCATTCCTCTGCCATCTACCATTGATAGTGCTATTTGATGTTCTTCTAAAGTCTTTGCTTATCTTCTCTTTGCTATCTTTCTAATAAAGCCTATTTTCTTTGAGCTTATATTCTGTACAGCTTTATTCTTTTCTGTTCTGTTTCACTGTGTTCATAGGGTGGTATGGGTTGAAAGGGACCTTGAAGATCATTTCATTCTAACTCCTGTCTGCCATGGCCAGGAACACCTTTCACTAGGTTGCTTAAAGCCCCATCCAGCCTGGCCTTGAACACTTCCAGGTATGGAGTATCCACAGCCTCTCTGTACAACCAGTTCCAGAGCCTCACAACCCTCATAGGGAAGAATTTTTGCTTTATAGCTCATCTACTGTCTCCATTTAAGGCCATTCCCCCTTATCCTGTCACTACATGCTGTTGTGAAAAGTCCCTCTCCAGGATTCTTCTAACTCCATTTAGTACTGGAAGGCACTATAAGTTCTTCCTGGAGCTTTCTCTTCTCCAGGCTGAACAAACCCAACTCTCTCAGCCTTTCCTCATAGGAGAGGTACTCCAGCCCTCTGATCATCTTGGTGTTCCTCCCTGGACTTAATCCAACAGGTTCAAGTTCTTCTTATGTTGGGCCCAGATGTGGGCACAGTACTCCAGGTGGGATCTCACCAGAGGAAAACAGAGGGGCAGAATCCCTTCTCTCATCCTGCTGGCCATGCTGCTTTGGATGCAGCCCAGAGTACAGTTGGCTTTCTGGGCTGCAAGTACACATTGCCAGGTCATATCAAGCTTCTCATGCACCAACACCCCCAAGTCCTCCTCAAGGTTGCTCTAAATCCGTTCTCTGCCCTGCCTATACTTGTGCTGCAGGAGCTTGCACTTGGCCTTGCTGAACTTCCTGAAGTTTACACAGGCCCATCTCTCAAGCCTGTCAAGGTGTCTCTGGATGGCCTCCTTTCTCTCCATCTTATTGAGGAGGAATTTCTTCATGGAAAGGGTTAAACATTGGAAAGAACTGCCCAGGGAGGTGGTAGAGCCACCATCCCTGGAGGTGTTCAGCTGGATATGGCACTTGGTGCTATGGTCTGGTTGACAAGGTGGTGATCAGTCAAAAGTTGAACTCACTGATCCTGGAGGTCTTTTCCAGCCTGAATGATTCTGTGATTTTGTGACCATACACAGCTTGATGTCATTGGCAAACTTGCTGCAGGTGCATTCACTCCCGCTGTCCATGTCACCAGTTGTTGCTTGATTATTTCAGTCAGCCTTTACAACTGAATCCATGATGTCTTCTGTTAAGGTGATCTTTTCCAAGGAGCTAGATTCAACAACTAAAATGTACTCAGAAAAAAGTTTCTTATCATTTAGTTGTGGTCTTACTATGTATGTTCACCATCTGTTGTGACCTTTATCCTGGTTCATAACCAGGATTGGTTTCATAACAAAAGCATATCATTGTGCAAGCACAGTAAAAACCTGATCCTTGCCCCAGAGAACATTCAACATTAATGTAAATGAAATTACAATATGAATACAGGAAAGGAACTCAGGCACTTGCTGAATGTTGACATGATTGTCACAGCACGTTACTAGTTTGATTACGCTTTCTTGGCAGAGAGCTTGTGCTAAGTTTTACTTTAGATGTTAAACTTTGCAATGCAGCTGCTTCAGTTCCAGTCGTACCAAAGCACATAACCATACAGCTTTATATAAAATTGCTCATATGGCTAAAGATGTCACCAGCAGCGAGGGGCCAAAGAACCCAGGAGCATCCTGTAATCAATTTTCAGAGCTGCTTCATGCTGCTTAAAAAAGAAAAGAAAAAAGAATGAAGCAAGTTGAAGGCTGGAGCCATCAAGAGTCAGCACTCAATGCTAGCTTGGATTTTCCCACATTTGTGTTTCACTTCTAGTAGTGTCGTTTGAAAGGGCAGTTCACAGGAGGAAGCAGAGCATCAGAAACACTGCCTGGCCATGGAGAGATGATACAAGAAAAGCCAGAGTTCTACTGAGGTTGAGCTGTGCAGCATGTATCTTGAGAAAGGAGAAGTGCTTCTGCTGCAACATTAGTAGCAAAAACGTAATTAAGAAAAGAGGCTGGATCTTTGCTAAATGAAGCTGCTCATTTAATGGTGATAGACACAGGGCTGAGGTAACCAGGGCTGCCTTTGCCTCAGTCTTCACTTACAAATGCTTCCAGGCCTTAGTGTCACTTTGGAGTCAATCACTGAGTGAATCCTATTGGAAAATACTTCTCATCACATGAGGGAAAATGCATGCATGAATTTATGTATGGTAGATCATACTTGACCAGCCTAATTGCCTTCAGTGATAAAATGACTGGGTTTGTAGGCAACAGGATAGGAGTATTTAATTTACCTTGACTTCAGCAAAGTTTTTGACACCATGGCGTTATATCCAAGTTAGGATGTCGTGGACTAGATGGATGAACCACTAACTACATTAAAAAAACTGGTTGGATGGTCAGGCTCAGAGGGTTTGTAATTATTCAGACATAATTACCTAGAGGCTGGTAACAACTAGAGCACTGCATGAGTGTGTTCTGTGACCTCTCCTGTTTAAAATGTCTATCAGTCACCTGGAGGGCATGTCAGAGTGTACTCTGATTAAGTGTGCAGGTGACACCAAACTAGGGGAATCTCTTCTGCTTGAGGGATGAGCTGCCATTTGGAGGCACCTAGATGGGCAAGAGGAATAGCCAGCAGAGATCTGATGAAATTTACCAATGACAAATTCCTGCCCTTCTAAAGGAAGAACCCCTTGCACATACAGGCAACAGTGTGGGGGGTTGCCAGACTGGGGAGCAGCTCTGCACAAAAGACCTGCAGGGGGTTCCCAGTGGACCATGAGCTGGAGGGAGTCAGCAGGGACTACTACCAAGGTGGTCAGAGGCTCTGGTGAGGCTCTAGCACTAAGGCTTGTTCTGCCTGGATTTTTTCTCCAGGTGGCTTCAGGGTGGACCTTACAGCAGCTCCCCAATACCTATGGGCAGCACTGAGAAGGAACCAGGCCCCTTTGTAGTGGTGTATGGCAGTAGGGTGAAGCACAACAGGCATAAATTGCATAACATAACCAAGATGTTCAAACTGGATGTAAGGAAAAGCTTTTTCTCCACAAGGACAGTCAGTGCCACAGGGTGCGCAATGTGGTTGTGGCATCTTCCATCTTCCATGCAGAGCTGGTTGCATAAAGCTCTCAGCAGCCTGGCCTAGCCTCAGAGCTGAGCCTCCTTAGGCAGGAGATTGGACTGGAGGTCTTCCAAGGTCCTCTCCAGCCTGAGACATCTTGTGATGCTGTAGATCCCAGGAACTGCACTATGTTCATTCAGCCAGAGTCAGAAGTCAATTGTTTCTGCTGCTCTCCATTTATGAGCTAAGTGGTATCCATCACTCTAATTTCTGCAAGTTTTTCCTCTTTTCAAAACT